CTTGTTTTTAACATGTTCTACTTGGTTTTGGCTTTCCGTGTTTTCACTATGATATGTCTATTTATGAATATCTTTGTGTTTATGTTCTTGGAGTTCCTTGAGCTTTCTGGATGTATAGACTATTTTTTTTTTTAATTCAGGTTTTCAATGATATTTTTTTCTGTTTCTTTCTCCTTCTCCTCCCTTAGTACACTCATTACATATTTGTTGGTGCACTTAATGGTGTTATTCATTTTTTGAGACTCTGCTTATTTCTCTTTATTCTTTTTTTCTTTCTCTTCTTTAGTTTGTGTATTCTTTATTGTTCTATCTTTGAGTTCACTTATCATTTCTTCTGCCAATTCAAGTCTACTGTTTTTGTCACTCTAGTTAATGCTTTATTGTCCCTCTCATGGGCTTTTTCTTTTTGCCAGCTGTTTTCCCCCATGGGTTATATTTTCTTCATTCTTTGTATGTCTCATAATCTTCTGTTGGAAATTAGGCATTTTAGATAATATAGCAAAACTGGGTACTATCTGCTGAAGGCTTATTTTATTCTCTTGTTTGTTTAATGACTGGCTGGATTATTTTAGTGAAGTCTATTTCCCCCCTGTAGTATTAAATCTCTGATGTTTCACCTCAGGGAATCTCAACCATGGGTGTGTCCACAGTCACCTTAGAATTACAATTGTTTGGGCAGGGCTCTCCTTGATTGCCTTTTCCCCTGACCAGGTCTAGCTGTTGAACTCCACTAATTACCAACAGGATTTCTGTATTGTTTGTAAGGCTGCCTTGGAACCTAAATTGCTCTAAGGACCAATCCATTCAAATTTGATCTGCTTTGAAAGAGTAGTTTCCTAGGTCAGACTTTCAGATTCGTTCTAACCTAGGTGGGCTCCCGAGGCTCCCTCTTTCCAAGATTCCCTGCTTTTCACTCCCCTGGGCAAAATCCTGAGCTATTGGCTCTGGAGCTGGTGTGAAGATTATGGCATGTTTCTCTGAGGAACAGCTATACCTTAGGACAGAGCATATGATGCCGAGGGAAAAATAGCCTCAAGATTTTTTGGCTTGCCTCGCCCAGTAAACAGTGGGCTAGGGAAAGGACTATTGAGGCTCCATATTCTCAGTGGCACAGTGCCCAGCCAGAGCCTCTCTCCCATGAGTGGGGACCAGGAGGAAGAAAAGAGTCCCTGCCTCTTAACCACACTGACTTAGAACTTAGCTTGAACAGTAAGTAACTAGGAACAGAATGAGAATGTCTGACATCACACCTTTCCCCCAGAAAATAGTCCTCCAACTGCTCGCTGCAGGGAGAAGGACCCCTGTATTCTTGACTAAACTAGTTTGGAGTAAAGTTTCTACCTCACTGAGCTGAGATAAGGAAGGATGGGAGTGGGTTCTTGTTCATGCACTCTCAGAGTCTTACCATTCTTACCAAGCTCTAGTCGATTTTCTTAAATAAGTGTTTCTTTATTTGCTGCTTGCCTCCAGATCCATTTGCAGAATCTTTAAACGTTTTTCCATTTATAATTTTCACCAGTTTCACTGGAAAGCACATCTGTGGAGCTCCTTTTGCTATCATGCTGAAATGGAATTCTCTGATAAGATACGCTTTCATAAATAAAAAGAAAGTCTTAGAAGATTGTTGAAGCTAAAATCAATGTATAAGGCAGTTAAATTATCAGCAGCAGTGAGTTGAAAATATATTTTTAAAAAGGTAACTAAATTGTAAACAGGTTTACTATCACAAGAAACTATATACAGCAGCAAAAATAAATCTAACAAAAAGATGTGGACATTTTTGTAAGCTAAAAACATTTTATTGACATGTATTAAAGAACATACATAAGTCACTCTTAATGTAAAAAACTGATGATAAAGATGTAATTATTTCAAAATTGGTTAATATTTAAATATAACTTCTACCAAATTTCTTATAGGAATTTTTATAAAACTTATAATCTGATTCTATATTTTTCAGAGAAGAGCAAATGAACAATAATAGCCAAAATATCCTTAAAGAACACGGTATGAGAAAATGCTGTAACCAATATCAAGATTTATGATAAAGTTTTCATTCATAAGAAACAGGGTATTCATTCAGGGTTAGAGAACCAGATTATTGAAACAGAAGACAGATCTCTTAAAAGAATGAGGACGCATAAAAATTTCATTTGTGAGACAATGAGCTTTGACGATCAGTAGGTAGTGCATTTCCAAATAACATTGAAAACTCAATTTATAAGAAAAAAAAATAAAAAAAAAAAATTAATAAAAAAAAAAAAAATTCAAATAAGGCTTGAAAACACTAATTATAAAAGATTAATAAAATAAACTACATTAAAATCAAAAATTTTAATGAAATGAAAAGGCATGTGTTAAAGAAGTTAGAGAGTGTTAAAGAAGAAAACACAACTTTGTAGAAGATATTTACTACATTTAGGATTTTAAAAATTATTCCAAAATCATTAATTTGAGCTTTGTGAAACTGCTAATATTCTATGGTTTTTGATGTGTAAAATAATGGTGATTTCATTTAGCCTAATGGAAGAACTCAAGTAAATTGAAAACAAATACAAATACCAATGCAAAAATAGGAAAAAAAAAAAAGATGAGTAGGTAAAAAAAGGAATTGATGTTGCCTGGAACTGGCAGGTAAAATTTAGCAAGAATAACTCATAGACTTTCTTGACTCAGTCAACAATTTTCTGTGTGTAGAAAAGAGAGCAAGGTAGGCAAATTCCAGGATTAGTAAAAAAAAATATATGTAAGTATGAATTTAGTGTTAGACCCACCAATGCTTTTCTCAGTAGTAAAGGAGATAACTTTGTTCTGCAGTAAGCAAATTCCTGCTACAGTTTCTAAATTATTATAATAGTCTGTTGTAAAAGGAGAATATGGAAAGATTGTTTCTCATAGAAATAATGTCAACCACAAAAAGACAATAGCCTCACTTCAGTTTTATTAACTGTCTCTTGAAGAACAAATTCTGTCTTTTGTTTTGAACTATCGTGTATAAAACCATCCAGAAATATTCTTTGTACTAATTAGTTGTACTCATACTTGTCATATACTTTCTGAAAATATAACACAACTATATATTCTATACCTGTTTTGAGATAATGTTCCTCGCTTTTAGCTTACTGGTATTTCTGTCTAGGTCATGACAATAAAGATTACTGTATCATTTGGTATATAACTGCTTAACTTCATTAGAAATCTCTTTTTCTAAGTATATTCAAATTACTATATGATGATGTACAACCAGAAGAAATTCAGAAAACAATTGTTAAATCAGAGTGCTTTTTCTATTTGATTGCTTATTAGAAAAGCATTATAGGCCTGTTTATATCTTAAACAAAGCAAAATTAAATATAACTACACATCTATTTTGGGAAATGGCTATCAGTTTTTGGAAATCCTAGTATAGTGCTGTATGGTACAGTAGTTTTATAAAACTTATTTGAAGTCATCTGAATGGAATATCTTTCTTAGTTGAGTATTTTGGAAACCAATAGGATACAGATACTCAGAAATTGGATGGCAATGGTTTGGAATCATTACTATTATATGCAATGATTAGGTAGCCCAGTGTTCTGGGGTCTCTAATTTGCCAATATTTGAAAAAACAAACAAACAAAAAAATAACCAAATGATTTTTTTGCCCAAATAACACCATGCACAGTAACCAAACTTGTGTTTGTTTGCTTTTGGCTGTAGTATCACTGAGAGTTAATCAACATTTCCACTTTGAGTAAAGGTATATCTTTCAGTAATCAACATGAGAAGGCAGATTAACAAATTATTATATATGATGTGACTGCAATTTATGAGATGAGGATGAATGACAACCAAATATTTCAACTTGGGGGTGAAATTTTGAGAACTGTGTGTCTAACATGGGAGCAGCCACTTCTCACTGACCAGTTTTACTTTGAACTGAAGTATATTCTTAAGTATTGCTTAACTGTTGCTCCAGATAACCAGTGTATATCTCCATATAATTAACTGACACCTGCAAAATGGAGCACAAGCTTTTATGACTTCTCATTTTGTTCTTATTACGTAACCACTATAGGTCTTCTCTACAGAATTTTAATGTATGTCGCATAGCTCCTCCGGGTAGCAAATAGGGCTTTTGCTGTATCTTAATGTGAATGCTCTAGGCCATGAGTGACTCTCTTTTTAGGTACCTGTGGGGAATCAGCAAAGTGCATTGTTTTGCAACCGTATTGTTATACAGTCCAACTTTTAATACAGAGCTTCTCAAACTTGTGTTTCAAATATGATGACATTTTATCCAATCAAATTTGCTTAACCTATTATCATTCTAAATAAATGATTTATTTTATTATCAGGCTAAATAAAAAAATCAAACTTATGTATGGTATACGGAGACGAGATAATATATGTCTTCGGAAGGGACACTTACAGATTATTTTTGTAGAAGAAATGTTTTGCATTTTTAAGGTGATGATGGTTAAACTCCCTTGGTCCATCCGGGGTCCCATTCATTCAACCTGTTAATGGTTGTCCTGGTCCATGCTGATTGAAAAAGTGCGGGTTGGGCGCGGTGGCTCACGCCTGTAATACCAACACTTTGGGAGGCCGAGGCGGGCGGATCACGAGGTCAGGAGATCTAGAACATCCTGGCTAACACAGTGAAACCCCGTCACTCCTAAAAATACAAAAAATTAGCCGGGTGTGGTGGCGGGCGCCTGTAGTGCCAGCTGCTCGGGAGACTGAGGCAGGAGAATGGTGTGAACCCGGGAGGCAGAGCTTGCAGTGAGCTGAGATCGCGCCTCCGTCTCAAATAAAATAAAGTTAAATTAAATTAAATTAAATTAAATTAAATTAAATTAAAAAATGAGCGGAGACGAGTCGGGGAGAAAGCCTGAGCAGTCCACTGAAGTTGGGATTGTCTTGAGGTTTGCAAAGGGTTCATGAACTAGAAAAAAAAAGTGTCATTTGGGCAGTCATTTTGAAATGATGCAACTTATTGTAATTTTTACTTTTTCCAGATAATTCCCTCAGTATTTTGGCAAAGCATAATGGATTCAACCGCCAGAAGCAAGAAGTCTATCTTTTACCAATCATAATCAGTGACAGTGGAAACCCTCCACTGAGCAGCACCAGCACCCTGACCATCCGGGTCTGTGGCTGCAGCAATGACGGTGTCGTCCAGTCTTGTAATGTTGAAGCTTATGTCCTTCCAATTGGACTCAGTATGGGCGCCTTAATTGCCATATTAGCATGCATCATTTTGCTGTTAGGTACGTATTTCCTTCATAGCCTTCACCCTTTTTCTGGTTCATAAATGACTGTAAATAAGGACAGAAAACTCTCATCTATACAGGCAACAGCATTCCCTTGGGGAAGAGGAACTTCCTTTCCTTCTCCACGTTTTGAGATCTCTAAGAAGAAGTGAAGAGACAAAGGGTTGAGATAGTAAATGTCCAATTGAAGAGGACTTTCAGTGCCTTTTTCAATTCCATCACCAGTAAATCGATGAATAAGGCATAATGGTGGTGGCAGTGGGGAAGTGCTTTTGTGTCGTTACAACACCATCTATTACATAAGAAGAACTCTGGGTGTGAGGCACACCAGTTCACTGCAACAGCAGGCTCTACTATGCCCACAATAGTGTCTCATTATAGATTGGGTTGCCAAGTCCATTGGATCCCAAATTTGGTGACATGAAAAGAAAGCAAATAAGCAAACTAAAAATAAGTTTTCTTCAAATTACCATTGCTTTTCTCTGACATTTTCCTTGATATAAACATCAATTTAAAATGATTGCAAGTTAAGATTCTATAACCTTTTAATAAAAAAATCCAATTATAAAATGAGATTACACAATAGGAAAATAGAAAAACAAGAGAGTTGTATCTTATCCTACCCTCAAGGAACAAAACACTTTAAAGACGGTGTCAGTTACTGTCTTTCTTGTTCCATCTGTCTTGCTCACCCAGTGCCTTGGATTCAAGCATCACTTTGCTGACATATTTTGCTCCATTAACCCACATTTGATTTGGCTGATCTGGCTAGTTGGGTATGTTTTCCTTGCCCTTTCTTCACATTCAGGTTTCTCTTCCCAGCTAGAGGCATTCCAGCCCTCCCACAAGACAAGTTGCCCGTGCAAATTTGACATTCACTTTTTTAATAAAAGAACGTAATTTAAACGGAGAGTGCCTTGAAAAACTGTGAAAGCCCAAGGACCTACTTTGCTCCTTTTTTTAATAGAAGGGAGCTTTGGAACCAAAGGATGTTAAAGGACTTGCTTGAGACATACATCAAGCTAGTCATACTTTCAGTGCTATTTTTTATTTTGTGCCACTCACTCTAATGATCAAAACAGTATAAAATGTAACTTTCACCATGAATGCATGCATGCCAATTCTTTTAACCCAGCTCTATCAGCGTATAATAAACCAATAATCTGGAACAGTATTTACTCAAAATTTAATGTTCATCATTCAGAAAGATGTTTAGCTTAATTCTCCAGTAAATATTATTAAAGGTGTATGCTCACATGATTTTGTAAAAATTCCCCTCTCTCCTAACATATATAGTGTGTTGCTTGTGAAATTATATGCTTGTTTGGCTGACTGTTATTTAATATTTTTCCTCTAGTCATCGTGGTGCTGTTTGTAACTCTACGGCGGCATAAAAACGAGCCATTAATTATCAAAGATGACGAAGACGTTCGAGAAAACATCATTCGCTACGATGATGAAGGAGGAGGGGAGGAGGACACAGAGGCTTTTGACATTGCAACTTTGCAAAATCCAGATGGAATTAATGGATTTTTACCCCGTAAGGATATTAAACCAGATTTGCAGTTTATGCCAAGGCAAGGGCTTGCTCCAGTTCCAAATGGTGTTGATGTCGATGAATTTATAAATGTAAGGCTGCATGAGGCAGATAATGATCCCACGGCCCCGCCATATGACTCCATTCAGATATATGGCTATGAAGGCCGAGGGTCAGTGGCTGGCTCCCTCAGCTCCTTGGAGTCCACCACATCAGACTCAGACCAGAATTTTGACTACCTCAGTGACTGGGGTCCCCGCTTTAAGAGACTGGGCGAACTCTACTCTGTTGGTGAAAGTGACAAAGAAACTTGACAGTGGATTATAATAAATCACTGGAACTGAGCATTCTGTAATATTCTAGGGTCACTCCCCTTAGATACAACCAATGTGGCTATTTGTTTTAGAGGCAAGTTTAGCACCAGTCATCTATAAACTCAACCACATTTTAATGTTGAACCAAAAAAGATAATAAAATAAAAAAGTATATGTTAGGAGGTTATAAATCTTGTGGAGTGTGAATTAAGTATGTGGAGTGTCTAGAAGTCCTTGGATATGTGATATTTACCTGACCACCACAGACAAAGATTGGGATCCTGGCTAATCCTTAGAGAAATGGTTTAAATAGAGGAAAAAAATCAAAATTAAAAGGTGCTTTCTTAGAAAAAAAAAATACGGACCTGCAAGGAATCTGCTGCTGATATGTGTCTTCTGCAAGGATTTTTATGAATGCAAATGGTTTTTTTCCCCTTCACCAATAAGGATCCCGCCACAAATGATAAAGCAATACTTGGTCTGCTGTACATTATAACTTTTTGGAGTTTTGAGAGGCCTCCTAGATTATACAGTACGGTGACCACACATTGTACATAATTGTTGGCCCCACTCACCAGAGACTGAATAGCATCTTTAAATATTGTGTCGAGCCTTAAAATATTCACATGTTCGTAATCCATTCCAGGGTGGGGCTTGCCAATTCAGTGGTGGGAGGAGAGAAATCCCATTGAAACATGCTTGTTTTCTAGAAGCAGGATTCCTCATTCCCTCCGCTTCATCTTCTTCCACAAGGACACAAAGATAAACTGTATTACACAGTGGACTACATAAGAGACAGATGGTTTTATTGCTAGCGCGTGAATTTATTTGTTTAATCCTCGAAATAAATATTTTATTGATGTCCATTAATGCTTTTATTTAATAAGGTTGGTAATCTATAGATTAAGGGGATATATGGGGAAAAAAACTAAATTATATCCATTAATAATCCTTTAGATTGTTTTATATAAATATATATACAATGAATGTTTAATATATGTACATTTTGATGAGATGAGTATGGCAGGCAATATTATCGAAAGGAGAGCTAATAGTCTCTTTAGAGTAGAAAGTGTTATTGTAACTGGTGATGGCAGGAACAGCATTTTCCCAGAGAAACTTTTGGACTGTTTTCTATTTTGTTCATAATCCTAGTATTTGGTGTTTTTACTACAAGCACAAACATCCTAAAGTATATTGATTCCTGTGAATATTTAAACTCTAGACTTTTAGATACCTACATAATGCCCTGCCCAAGAAACATGCTTCAAGTTACCCCCACAGTTTTAGAGCAGGAACTGATTTGTACATAATTTCACTGCTTACGTTTTTAGCACTCCTATCCCCGATCTTCATGGTGATGCACAGAATGTCTTAGACTCCAAAAAGGAACAGCACTAGAAGATGTGAGCATATTTAATTTGTAATGCAAACCTGCCATTTAGGAGTAGAAAATGTATGATAAAACTCAAGTATTACATGCAGATCATTTTAATTTTCTACTTTGCTTTAATGCAATATTGTTTATTTACTCCATGTATTGTATTCAGAGAAACTCCTGTATTGTTTCCTACTTTGTGAAATATATTTTTATAAATACCTTTGTTGTCATTAATTTTTTTTCAATCAGTGGAAGATCTATTAACAGAATCATCAACTCTAACTAAAACTCTAGAATACTCAACCAAACCATCCCAAGGGTCACTTTTGTTTGTAAGAGTCTTTATCATAAAGAAACAGAGAAGAGAAATGGCTTGCCAGTGATCATACACCAAGATGCCAGCAGGGACATAAAAGGAACATGGAACGCCTAAAGGCTAGTCCACCTGTGTCACTTGGGTCCTTCTGGAAGCAGACACATTGAGCAGGGAAAACCTGCAGACAAGTTTGCAGACCTAAAACTTGTAACAAAGATTTGGCAAGAGAGTCTTAGACTGCAGTGCAGACCTGGCAAAATCACTGCCAGCCTGACAGGGGGTTCTAGAGTGAAAACATATCCATTAAAGCAGTCAGGCTGTGGTCCTCCGTCATCTCAGTCACTGGTGTGGGTCTGCTAAGAAGAGAACGGTTTTTGACTCAAAAACTGAAGGCACCAACTTCTAGAGGCTACCTCCACTGTGACAGAAACAACATGTTTAAATACTATACTAACAATTTGTAACTATCCAGTGGTTTAATCAAGCTTTTATTGAGTTTCTGCTGAGAATAAGTCATCTTTTCTATGTAGTATTATGACTAGTGAACACTTTCTTGAGGTCAAAAGGTTGGTCCAGCATGACTTTAAAATATACTAGGATTTGGCACAGTGTTAAAAGAAGTGCTTGGTGAATGTAAATTATTATTAGTAGTTTCAGTAATAATCAATAGTAATATTGTAACTATCTTACACCTTCCAAACCGAGGAGAGATGATTATTATGTTTTATGTATCTCTTGAACGTCAGACTCATTTCTAGCATACGTTGGAAGTGCCCAAAGATTATAGACACATAAATATGTCTAACAGAAAAATTACAGTATTTTTTAAGGAGTATAAAATCTATATCCTCAGATATTGATAATCAACAGGATAATCTTCATACAGTGGTTTCTGTGAGCGGGAGATAATGTCTGGTGTACCAGTTGACCAGACTTCGCCTCAATATTCTCTTTGCCTAGGAAGACAGAATGAAAGCATGAATCTCTTGCTGACTTTCTTTGCCACCACAGTGTCAGCATTTTGCATTTAAAAGCCTATTTCAGGTCTTGTAACATAGAATAAAGTGACCAATACCTTGATCCTAATAAGATTGACCTATACTTTTAGAGTGTCGTGAATTAAATTAAAAATCTCAGGAACTCTCTCTCTCTCTCTCTCTCTCTCTCACACACACACACACACACACACAACAAACAAATAAAAAACACATTTTACTTGAGGTTTTACTTTAACAATAGACTTGCCAGGACTTTCTCAACCAAAAGAGATCAATATGGTTCCTAACATTTTCTAAGATTTAAGTTTCCCATGCTCAACTTGTTAAATAACACATTTTAAAAACTTTACTGAAATGACTATTTTTTTAAAGCTCCGTGCATTGTTGTCTGTTTGATCAACATTGGCATAGCAGAGACAAGAGTACTCTCTGCTAAATGGAGAAGAATGGTTAAGTTGGAGCCAAGTGAGACAAAGTTACCTCCCTCCGCCTGCCTCACAATTCAAGGTTCCCACCTGGGGAACTGATGCATCCCTGGGTGACTGGACACAACACAGGATCAATTCAGCCTCCACTCTGTCTATGATTTGATCAAATCATATTAGCAAAATGTCTCTTAAACATCCATATATGAATATTAAAGAATATTAAGGGGGGCATTTCTTACAATATTTTTATAAGTATAGTTATAAGTTTCTAAATACAATAAGTTTATAATACGATGATTAAAATATGCTATTTTTAAATTCATGTGTTAACCTTGCCACACAGAATTATGACTTCTAGGGTGTAAACTTTAAAGTGAAACTGTTTTGAAAAAAATCTGCAGTTAAGTGTATGTGTATATATAGAAGAAAAGGAAACTTAGATTTACTGGTATCACCAGTGAGGCAAGAACGCTTAGAAAGATACAAATGTGTCTTTGGGAGAGTTTGCTTAATCAGATGCTTAAAGGAAGACAAGTCTCTGCATGAGACTTAGAAATCTCCTAGGAGCAGCCGGATTCCACACTGAGACTCAACAGAGTTCTGGGCTATGCTGTATTTTGGAAAAGGAAAAGCGGGTGCTGAGAGCTAAGTAGCCAATTACTCTTTATAGCCACATAAGGACTGAAGGCAAGTAGGCCCTTCCAACAAGTTGTATTATGCGATCACTGGCTTTGCAGGGAATCTCACGAATGTATAACCTTCTGATTGCCTTTTTGATTGAAAGTTCCATCTGAGATCAGGGCAGTGTAACCAGTAATAAGATTTCAAAAAATCCCATCACTGGCACTGTCGGAAAGGCTGAGCATGACTGAAATCCTATCATTGTCAGTCAAAAAGATAAGGTAACAGCAGGCATCACTATAAAAGCTCTATAAATGCACAACTTAAACATGAATATCAACATTAAAAAGAATATATATATATCCTTATACATATATTTATAAATATATTCATGTATATAAATATGCACACATATACACAATTAAGTTACTGGGTATAATTTATAGTTTTAATTTTTCATCTCATAATCTCATGCATTGCTAAAAAATTGAAATTGTGGCTCTCTTTTTTCATGAATCTAACCTTGAATTTGAAAGAAATTGAATTGAGGGTAAAGGGTTTTAAAAGCAGGTTTTTATTTGCGAACAGAATAACGGCTCATAATACCTGGGCTTAGAATTAAATATGTCACATTGTGAGGCTGTACTTAGACTTTTAAATGTCATTGTATTTTTTTGTGGGGAAAATAAGTGTAGAATATATTTTGCAGGAAATACTTTTCTATACTATTTTCAATTTCAATACTGTTTTATTTGCTATAAAAAGTGTCTTTGCAGTTACTCAGGTGGCCAAACAGTGTTGAATGTATTTTTTGTCCTTGTAATTATTGCTTCTTATGATAATTATAGAAGAGCATGTCTTTATGATCTATCGTTTAAAAATACATTTATTATCATTGTATTTTTAGTCAACACAAATTTATGGATTACATGGTATACTGTTGATATTGAAGATATTCTAGTCCTAGTATTTTGAGCACAGACCTAGTGTTATGGAGGACATAAAATTTAAAAATTTCCTGACTTGATGGGCTATCTGAGGAACAAGAATTTTGTCTGCCACATTTATTGAGTATCTATCAGTAGAGAAATTAAGCTACATGGTTGATACAGAAATATTAAATACAGCAGCATTCTCAAAGTTTTTTTCTTTATAAAATGTACCTAATCAATCTCATAAGAACTAATTGTTGAATTTTTTTTTTTCCTATGGATAAATACTATTTGAGTCTGGGTTTAAGTTTGGTTGGTCTGACACTAACACCCCTTAACTTTCAACTAAACAGTTCTCTCTGTAATTATAATATGAGACTTTTGATGATAAGAAATAGAAACTAAGTTATATATAGTGGTATGGAAGTACTGAGGAGGAAGTAAGGGACCCCATATGGGAAGACTCAAGAAGGCGTCATGGTGAAATTTTCCAAAAAGATGGGAACTCAAGAATGGGTGCAACAGAAATCACAGCTTTTCCAAATACTAAAAGGGAAAATTATAAAAAGCACCAATGGCACATTTTTGGACATTCAGAAAGATCCAGAAATTAGGTGCTCATAGGACTTCTAGGTTTGCCAAATTGTAGTGTTTTATGGATAGGAAAAATGAGGTTCAGAAACATTATAAGGAATTTTCAGGGTTAAATTACACATCAAATATGTGAGAGAAACAGAAATTACATGCTGGTATTTAGGGTCATCTCCTGAGTTGTAATGTTGTAAGTGATTTTGTATGTATTCTCCTCCTTCCTTTATGTGTGGAAGTTGCATCTAGGTCTCAAGGTTAGTAGGCATTTGCTGGAGAAAATGGTGCCTTTCTGTAGTATTTCCCCAATTTGAGTTACCTGCCACCATCTAATTCACATCTTGAATGCAAGTATTATTTCTTGCAAGTACCCCTACTAATAGATAATAGATATTTCTATTATTATCCACAGATTACAGAAGAGGGTTGCTAGGAGGAATGTCACAAGATGCTGTCTGAAGAGAAAGACTGTGGAAAACCATGGCTTCAATGAACTCAGAGGTCAGGACCAGAAAAGGAAATGAGAGGTCACCAAAGCCAAATGTTAATTTCTTGGGATTTCTTCTGTACATGCAAAGAACTCCAGGCCATCCTATGATTCCTCATAAATAAGAGGAAGATTTTAACAATTATGCTCTAAGATGGAACATGACAATTTAGGAGTCATTGGGATCACCCTCCCCCTTTCCAATACTGTTCTGCTTTGACTACAAATATGTCTAATGGTTTTCTAAATTAACCTCTAAAGTTTGAGAGCTATGTCATCTTTGTCAAGTCTGATTGTTGAGTATGTGAATGGATGTTTTTGGTTCAATGTTAGAGCCAAAATTTATAAATAATAATTATTTATAAATAATGATATTGCAAATAAACTTTAAAAAAGACCTTTAAACATAAAAATTCTTTTCTATAAAACACATACTAGGTACTAGGCTAGTAACAGAAAAAGGATATACCCAACACAATTCTCTTGCCTTTCAAGACATGGAGTTAAACTGGATAAATTATAAAAGCAAATAAATGATAAAACATTTGATTTGGCTATCCTGTGGAAGAACTAAGCAGGCAGTGTTTTTAAAGCACAGAGAAAGAATATTTATCTAAGTCTGCAAAGGCAAGATATCTTTCTTGAGGCTGTGTTAGAATGAGTCTTGGAGGGAAGCAAATCTTAGACAGGGAGTATCAAAAAGTAAGGCTAGCTTGAGGTCCTGACACCTGAAAATAAATGGTGATGTGAAGGGATCTCTCAATGGGCTTCATTATTGTGTTTCTCAATGTATGAAATTCTCCAAGTTACAAAAACAATCAGTATCCTTATTTATTTAAGAAATATGTACCAAAGAGTTCCCATTCATTTGGGTGCTGGGAATACAGCATTGAATAGGACAAAAGAGATTTTTTTTTTTCAAAGAACTGGTAATATGGAAGAAATGTAAATAAATAGAAATACAAAAAAAATTTGATATGATAGAACAACATAGATGGATGAGAAACGAAATGTTTTACTTACAGTGGACAGAATGATATTTGAGTTGCCCAGTGAAGTTTTTTTAATCAAGGAAAACCATAGTGAAGAGTTTGGGAATGCTTATGTTAGTTGTTCTCCTAGACTGAATCAGTGGCATATACAAGAAAGAATATGAAGTCCAGATTATAGTGGATAAAGGTGAAAGAGGTGCAACAGATGTGGAAACCTGGGCAGAGAACATATTATCCAGGCTTTTGTCAACCAAGATAAGGAGCTCATGTTTACTTCATGTAAAAGAGAAGGCAATTGAAGGGATCTAAAAGCAGGGGGATGATATGATCTGATTTATATTTTAAAAATAATCACTCTGACTCTTATATGAAAATCAGATTGTAGTAGACATGAATGAAAGTAGGAACCCCAGAGAGAAGGTTTTTATCATAAGCCAAGGAACATATTATCTTGACTTTATGGAGTGGTGATACAGATAGAAGGAATACCCAGAATTCACATATATTTTGGATATAAAATTGGTAGTAATGGTAGTTCAATTACATGCTCAAAATAAAGATGGAATCTAAAAATAACTCCCAGAATTTTTGGCTTGAATGACTCTGTAATTCATGGGGCCAATGACAAAATTTAGGAAGACAAGAAGTGAATTTGTTTATCAAAGGCTGACATCCTAACTTCTCTACTAATGGACAACAGAAAAGGATAACAGAAATCAGAGTCTTATAGAAATTCTTACATGAGGTGTGTTAGGGGCTGTCTTAGTCAGGGTTCTTCAGAGACACAGAGCCATTTGGTGAGAGAGAGGAGCTTTTAGCAGGAATTGGCTCATAAGATTATGGTGGCTGAGAACTCCTACGATCTGTTGTCTGCAAGCTGGAGGAAAACTAGTATTGCAGTTCTGTCTGAGTCCTAAGGCCCGAGAACCAGGGGAGATAAGATGTAAATGCCAGTCTGGAGTCAGGAGAAGATGAAATAAGATATTCCAGCTGAAACAGTCAGGCAGAAAAAAAGGGAACAAATTTCCCCTTCCTGTTCTTTATGCCTTCAGTGTATTAGATGTGGCTTAAGTATACTGGGGAAGGCAATCTACTTTACTGAGTCCATTGATTCAAATGCTAACCTTATCTGGAAACACCATCACGGACACACCCAGGAATCATGTCTCATCTGTGCATCCTGTGGCCTAGTCAAGTTGCCATATAAAATTTGCCATCACAGGGATCATTTGGAAAACATAGCTACATTTTGATTTTTTCTATATATCAATACCTGAGTCAATGAAGGTCACAAGAGACATGATACATTTCGGAAAGAAAAGTTCGGTCAGACTGATCATTTTATATATTTTAGCTTTCTAGAAATTAGAAAAAATGTAAAGGCTCCACTTTAGTTAGTTCATTCTTGGCTGAAATATGATGGATTCACTTACTGGAAATAATAGTTAGTGGAAATGATGAGATAATATCCCGAAACCTTTATGTATGCTTACGTAAAAGTAGAAAAAAAAAAAGGCACATATGGCTTTCTCTATAAACATAATACTTTGTCCAGAAAGCTTTCCTGAGATATACCCTTTCTCTTTGGACTGAATACTAAATCTCAAGAGAAGGAACATTTGGTCTTTGTGGTTTAGGTATGATAAAAATTACAGAAGAAACACACTCAAACAAATCATTTTTGTTGGTTTATTGCTACTTACTGATAAAGTTATCTGGTTGTTTGGAAGTTTAGGGTTTTGGCACTTAATTAATGTTGGGTGCATAGAATTGAAGCAATATCCATCGGGAGAGAAAAGTCTTATGTAGAGTAAGTATAAGAAATTCTTATATTAAAAGGTTATTGATGAGAATGCATCTAATCTGTCATGCACTTATCATGCTATAAGCCCTGTGCTACATGTGTGGGGCTTGGATAAAGATAGAAAGACATCCTTGTTTTTCAGAGATTACTGTTTTCTGCAGTAGTTTGACATAGCTCTTGTTTTTAAAATAATAGCATTGTGTGTGTGTGTGTGTGTGTGTGTGTGTTTTAGTACTTTCAAATTGCCATAAAAATACTGATTCAAAATAATGAATGCTTAATGAGTTTACAGATAGAAACATATTTATTGAGCTACACCATTAAAAAAAATGTAGAATTCAATCAGTCATTATGGTGAGAGATGGAACAAACAAAGGTGGTATCACAAGTGCAAGGCAGGAAGACCTGAAGATGCAGAGTCTAGAAAATACATTGTGTGTGTCTTAAAACCTGGTGGGAATAAAGTAAAAACAGAAAATTACAGATACACCAATTTTTGCTATGAGAACATCAATAGAAACTAATAGTGTATTAATAATTAATACCTTTTGTTTTAATATTGTTTGTCCTAGGAATAGAAAGATCATCTTATAAAATAGTTAATTGACTATCAAACACAAAAATACATACATATGAACATTTCTATAGGTGCATTTTTAAAAAGTGTGATAGAGTTCATGACCTACTTAAGATAAAAACCCTCAGAAGATTAAGCAATATGCATAAATGAGAATGCATGATAAAGGGTAATCAACCCAAATTTTATAGTAAATAAAATAGTTAATAGAGAATTGTACGGGAAATTTATTTAAGATGAAAATAAGAAAAGGAAGGCTGTCCACATTGCTTTGATTTAATATAATATTCAAAGTCCTGACTACCACCAATATCCAAAGAAATGTTAAAGCAGAAACAAAGTTTTAAAGCTTTATAGAAAAGAGGGGAACTGTGCCACTATTTACAGATAATATTGTCATAAACATAGAAAGTTAACAGAGTAAATAGACAAACTATGACTACTAAGCAAGTATTTCAGCAATGCCGCTAAATCTGAATGATTTCTCTGATGAAAGGAAAATGCTAATGATGTCAATTATATAAGCAATTTGTAATTTTTATTCTATTATAATCTAAATAACAGAAATTTGTAACCAATTCAGTATTTTGTTTTTAAATTTGATTTTAGTATTTGTTGAGCTCTATAATTTTACATAATATTTAAGTAAGACTAGTGAAGAGATAAGGAAGGAATAGTATTACACTACCAGGTAAAACAAACTTATCACCAAGGTATAAAAAATAAGACAAGCAAATGACAATGCACACAAAAAAATGAGCAATAAAATCAGATATGGAAATCCTGCTGCAGGTAAAAAGGCAAGCCCAAGTAAATGAACCAAAACTCAAACTAGTTTGCTTTTAAAAATGCAAATGTAAAACAGTAAGCTATCACTCTAAATTTATGGGAAAAGTATAAAAAGGTGGATACTGTCAAGTATTAGTGAAAATATTAAGACTGAGAAGATTCATACATCGTATCTCTTCTGTAATCCAACAATGCCACATTGTGGGGTAAATTCAAGAGAAACTCTTACACAGATTCCTAAGCGAACATGTTCAGTGTTATTTATCATGCCTTTTTTTTTTTAAGTGAGGTGCTAGAGGCACTGAACGCATCTGCACTAGGAAGATGGATATTATGTCCTCTTAATAAATACTAAGAGTTATTATGGGGCATTTAGAAGTAATAAAATAAATGCACACAAGCCAGCATGTATTCATTCTGAAAAAAAATGTCAAATTAAAAATGTAAATTGCAGAATAAAACTTGTGATGAAATAACATCTATATTCATTTAAAACAAATTCACAGAAATATACATTTTACAAAGATTCGTATCCAATAATATTTATTTTTGCTCACCTGAGAAAAAGTGGCTCATCTACTTGCACTGGAGCTCTAATAAACAAATTGATACATAAATAAAGATAAGATAATGTTAGGTATGCTTAGAAAAATCAGTGAATAATACATTCCTTGGACTTGGTGTTTGGTATAGGAAAGCAAGTATTACAGTGAGGATGGGTGGTGTTCGGACAGTGAAAGTTTGTATGTACCGAAGAAGCTAGACTAAAATGGGAACTCCAGCCTATGAAATTGCACTGTGCAGAACAGGAACCCATATGATTTAGATACGTATTTTCAGTACAAGTTTAGATTTCCGTTATATTTCACATTTGTTGAAATACCCAGACTAAACGTTCTTAGAAATCTTATTGCAATAAAACTGTTTATTCCTGGATTTCTTAAATATAGTTAGTTAATTACGATTTTGTTCACTGAATAACCAATGTTATCTTTGTAAATAGATGTATTTTGTAAATAAAATTTAAGCATCACTATTGGAATCGATAGACATTACTATTAGAATCAATAGAGAAACTGAGGATTTTTAAGATGTCAAGGGATATGATCAAATCTAATATTATTTTCTTCCTTGTAATAGGGTTATATTCAGGATATCACCATCTATTTATTGAGCATCTACACTGCACATAGCTCTGTGATGAGTGTCATTGGGAATAAAGCAGTAGGATAAGTCACAGACCTTGTTCACACAGAGCTAATTGGAGAGATAAATTTAACACACTGAGATAATTAGATGATGTGACCTACCACATATGACAGTATGTAAAGGAAGAGGCAAAGTGTGGGGAAGCTGTCAATTGACATTCAGAAAAAAGAAAAGGTCAAGGAAGTTCAGATGGCTGGAGAAATCAATGTGCAAGAAGTTGAGCTTTTTTTTTCAGGCTTAGTTCCCCATTGAGAAGAAGGCATTTGTGAGACAATGATTGTTCACATAGGTTATCGCAGTAGTCTATGTCTACTCTGTCTCCAATCTTCTCCGTCAATTTTTGGAAATCTCTATTATCAAGTAAACATCCTAAAATATCACATCTTAAAATGGCCAAGATCTTAAAATGGCCTTCTAGTCAAGGATACATATCCAAGAATATTTATTTTTCCTTATTTGAATTTTGCTCGTTGCAATCGTTTTTAATTTGATTCAGTATATACTTGTAGAGTTTGTGGGTGTTTCAGGTTTTCCTGGAGCATATATCCTACTCAAAAGAAACTTCTAGGCTGGTTTTAAGGTTCAAGATGGAGAAGAATGGCCTTGCTATATTAATCAATGACCTCCATGCCAACGTAATTCACCCTAGCTTACTCATCCAAATCCTTTCCCTTCCCTTTTGTCAAAATAAGATTCTCCCCCTCAATGGCCTTTGCTGAAGACACTCAGAAATGTCCTTCTTCCTATTAGTACCTAACTACAGACACTATATTTATACTTAGGTTCTCTTCACAGTATTGGGCACAGAGATCAGATGCTAAACCCCCAGGAGTTAAGCAGCCTTCTCGTAAAAGTAGCAAAGTGTACTGAGTGAGTTATTTTACAAATAAAGAAAATAGTCCTAAAAGGTTAATATGTTGGAGATGAAAAAGAATCAAACCAGTTGAACATCTATATTGTCTTTAGATAACAATGGCTATTGGGGGTGGGGGGGAAAGAATAAAATAGAAACTCAATTCCAAGTAAGCATTTATTTGTCATGTTTATTGAACATGGAAATGATTAAGTACTTTCAGGAAAACAAAGATTTATGTGACACAGTCCTTAGATTGTAATCCTTTAACTTACAGTGACTTGTTTAGTGTTATCCTCTGTAAAATAAACTTGCTCTTAAACTGGGCTCCACAGACATTAACAGTTGGTGTGGCTAATGATCATGAATGAAGAGAAAAATCAGCACACAGTGTCACAGATCTTCCATTATCACTCTCACTGACATCACTTTGTCTTACTTCCCAATATTTTTGCTTGATGTATCAGGTAAACCACAGTGGAAGGAAATGTTTTTGGACTGACCTGTAAACCTGCAAGAAATATTTAACAATCTTGTCAATGTTTGCTGTGGGAAAAGGCATTTTCATGTCTTCATGTTTCTTACAACTTGGGATGGTCCTGAAAGTCCCGTGTTGAATTGATGAAGTACTAGACTATTATAGTCTATCAAACATGTAAGTTAGGCTCATATTATTTGTAAATTTGTACATGATAATATTCAGGCATATTCTACATTGAAGAATGTAGAAACCAATTTTTCTAGCAATAGGGTGGTTTTATAATCACTTTGATGATTGCAACCAGTGATGCTTTTGTAGTCATACTGCAAAATGATCACTCTTCTCTTTTATCCAATGTGGCTGATGTCAAAGGATGGCACAAACTCTGCACCAAATTCCTTAATAAGGCATTATAAACACTCTCACAAATATGCTTGTGGGATAATGATGAAGAGGTCCTTAAGATTGTTTTCTAAGATTCGTACTCCCTATTTAGACAGAGACATATACATAAGATCATTAAATCAATTTCCCACACTGTGCCCCACCAACTCATCACTAAAATCAAGACTGCTAAAATCCCTCTGATCAATTAGGAGAGAATGTGGTAACCAATACAAAGTTAAGTGATTTGGGAAGTTGTCTTCTAACTACTCAGCTCACGTATAACACAAATGTTCATGACATGGCCATATTGAAAGATGAAGGGTCTTCTCCTGGTCCCCATGAAAGAACCTAATAAGAGTAAGTAATAACTTTCCGGGATCCCACTCTGAAATTGTTCCATGTTCACTGTTTCTGAGTATTTACTTTATGGCCTAGTCTGTTGGCTACTCCTTCATGGGCTGACCTTCTCTGATGCCATGCTGTGACTCACGCATTCTATTTTGCTTCCCACTTTAAGATTGGATGGTGCAGTTCTTTAAAAAAAATTACTGGGTTCTACTTGGGTGACCCCTTGGATGTAGAAATATGGTCTTTGAGTTTTAAAAGGTTTGTATCTGAGGAATTGAAATATTCATTTATCAGTTTCTGCAGAATAGCTCCTCTGTATTGCACTATTGGGTAAGGAAAGTTCAGTTTATTCTTATTGGATCGGAAAGGCAGGAAAAGGGGATGTGGGTAATGTCCTGACAGGAAGATATGGCACACTCAAATTAAGAAATTAAGGATGATTTAATGAGTATATAATTTCATATGTATGGGCATAGTTGAGGAAAACCAAGAAGGGTATGCAGAATGTCACAGCTAACAACAGAAAGGAACCAGCTAATATTATTAGTCCTGACTGGAAAACAAGAGTAAGTGGTTGCTGGAAGTTGAAAAGGAAGCTAAAGTTTTTATCTGTGGAATAGGAGACAGGACCTATGGCAAAGAAGGGTGATTGTGCCCTTTCATTTTGTCCACTGATTATGAGGGGCCAGAACAAGGACATAGAAAGAATTAGGCAGGAATAAAGGAAGTAAAATACTATTGAACTTTGTTAATTGATTAGTTATTTTGGGATATTATTTTCATAAATTTCTATGCAATGCCAATCAAATAAATGTTACTTTTATCATCATTCTACATATTAAGAAACCGAGAACCTGAAATCTGAAGCAACTAGATCAAAATCACATATCTTCTCCTGATTATAAAGGCTGATATTTATAGCCTTTGAGTGGTTAATTGCTATCTAATGACATTTCTGGGCAGGAACAAAAACATGATCCCATTTATTTGTACCAACAGTGTTTCTGCAAGATTCTCAAATCATATCCCTTGTGGCAGTAAGTCTTATAAAGTTCTACTTTCAAAGAGAATCAAATCATCTCTTAATTTTCATGGAATCCTTAGTCTGCTATTTTTGCTCATGTCCAGCTTTTTCCCATTCCCTGTGAACAATTTGGGAAGCATCACTTTAGGCTGAGGCTCTATTATATTCACAAGACAGATATGTTTAGAAATAAGATTTCCAATACGTTCCCCATCACCCTTTCTCCTAAACATACATTTGGAAAAAAATTCTTTTTGTAACCATTAGAATGAAATTCAATATATAATTCTGGAATGTCTCAATACCTCTTACACTTATGACATAGATAATAACCAAATGCAACCTCACGTTTTCCAGAGATTTTGAATGTACGCTTGTCCTCAACTATAGGGGCAAAATTATGTTTCCTGAATACACCTGGAAAGAAAAGAAAACGTGTTTTTCAGGCAATGATACCAGGAGATAATAGACTATTAAATTATCATTCATAGAAGGGGATTTAGCAAATGTGTGAAATCATCCTCTCCTTACATACTTGGTGCTGAAAGACTGTATACCTGTCTACTGTGAAAAAAGGAAGAAAAAATAATCTCAATCTTTTCACAAACTCGGGTCATAGAGTTGCTTATTCAGCAAACGCTTATGGGTGCCCTTGACATTTTTCAATGCATCTTTTAGGGGAGAAATATTTTTCTAATCATACAGAGACACTATAAGAAATAAAGATATCTGAACTACTGTGAGGAAACATTTTGATGTTCTATGAAAGGAAATATTAAAGGAGCCTAATTTCACTGAGTTAGGCAGGAGGTCCTCAAATTAAAAAGAAAAGGAATTTAAGCTAACATTTAAAGGACAAAAAAAAATTAGCCAGGTCAGGAGAGAAATAAAGAGAGTTAACATCGGATCACAGGGCAGATGATCCGCATGCTGGAAAAGAGCTTGACGAATTTGGAAAAAATTAAATTGTTGTCAGGTTGCAGTGGGAGAAAGGAAACTTAACATGAGATATAGTTGGAGAAAGAGATAGTGGAAAAATCATATGGGATCTTGTAGAACATTGTGGCAAATATCAATTTTCATTGTTATTCACTTGGGTGGTCATATCTTCATGGCAAGATGACTGTAAATGCTGATATGGAAAAAGCGAATGAAGAGACAAGTCCAGAAACAAAAACATTTTCTCCTGGAAATAGAATTCTAGCTGTTATTTTTTAATGAGTGAATTCACATAGAAATTAAGGTAACTATTGGGTACTAAGCTTCATACCTGGGTGATGAAATAACCTGTACAGCAAACCCCCAAGACACATGTTTACCTGTGTAACAAACCCACACATGTACCACTGAACTTAAAATAAAAGATAAAAAGGAAAGAGAGAAGTCCAATATATTTTCATATTTCCTGGACATTTGTATTTCTTTTTTTTAAAAAAAACTACTTAAAGTTCTGGGATATATGTGCAGAATGTGCAGGTTTGTTACATAGGTATACACGTGCCATGGTGGTTTGTTGCACCCATCAATCCATCATCTACATTAGGTATTTCTCCTAATGCTATCCCTCCCCTAGCACTCCACCCCACAACAAGCCTGGTGTGTGATGTTCCCCTCCCTGTGTCCATGTGTTCTCATTATTCAGCTCCCACTTATGAGTGAGAACATCTGGTGTTTGGTTTTCTGTTCTTGTGATAGTTTGCTGAGAATGATGGTTTCCAACTTCATCCATGTCCCTGCAGAGGACACGAACTCATCCTTTTTTATGGCTTCATAGTATTCTACAGTATATATGTGCCACATTTTCTTTATCCAGTCTATCACCGATGGGCATTTGGGTTGGTTCCAAGTCTTTGCTATTGTGAACAGTGCTGCAATAAACATACGTGTGCATGTGTCTTTGTAGTAGAAGGAGTTATAATCCTTGGGGTATATACCCAGTAATGAGATTGTTGGGTTAAATGGTATTTCTGGTTGTTCTAGACCCTTAAGGAATCGCCACACTGTCTTCCACAATGGCGGAACTAATTTACACTCCCACCAACAGTGTAAAAGCCTTCCTTTTTCTCCATATCCTATCCAGCATCTGTTGTTTCCTGACTTTTTAATGGTCATTATTCTAACTGGTGTGAGATGATATCTCATTGTAGTTTTGATTTGCATTTCTCTGATGACCATAGATGATGAGCTTTTTTCTTATGTTTGTTGACCACATAAATGTCTTCTTTTAAGACGTGTCTGTTCATATCCTTTGCCCACTTTTTGATGGGATTGTTCTTTTTTTTATTGAAAATTTGGTTAAGTTCTTGTAGATTCTAGATACTAGCCCCTTGTCAGATAGATAGTTTGCAAAAATTTTCTCCCATTCTGTAGGTTGCCTGTTCACTCTGATGATAGTCTATTTTGCTGTGCAGAAGCTCTTTAGTTTAATTAGATCCCATTTGTCAATGTTGGCTTTTGTTGCCATTGCTTTAGGTGTTTTATTCTTCACTTTAAGTAAGAAATGTACCGTTTTAATTAAGAACATATTGTTTGAACTTGTAATTTTACTGCTAAAAATTTATCCTAAGTAAATTAATGGATAGGCTCACAAGGACATGTTTAAAGGATGCTAATCACAGCATTGTTTACAATAGCAAAAAGAAAAAAAATGGTGCAAATAGCAAAAGAGACAGTATGTTTGTATAATGAGAAGATTATGTGGTCATACAGTTATTGATATGAAAAGCTTTATATCATGCATTAATTTTAAAAAGCATATTATAAAATATCATATGCAGATTAAGCCTACCATTATTATAAACAATATTAACTTCTCTGTGCCCTATTGGATTTTCATTCACATAGATGATGCATTTATTACTTTTAGAGTCAGATAAAAGTCATGAGAGCCATTTTTAATTTGAAAATGACAATTATACAAAAGTTCATTTTTATTTCTTTTACTTTCGTCTTCTCTTAATTTATTTTACTATTTGAAAATCATTATTTTCAAAAAGTATTTTTTATGCCTAAATCAGGAAACAATTATTTGTAAGATAAATTTTCTAGAATCTGTCTGCTTCTATGTCATCTGGAATGCATGTCCCATATTGTTCCTCAAAT